TATCATCACGCCATTACACTTCCACTTCCATATTTGACAGTTTCGTCAATATTTTGAGACAGAAGTCCTGTTCCAGGCTCTCTCCACACAAAGGACTTGCCATCATCACTGAATATGATGGTCTGTATTCTCTCTATTCCCAGAAATAACCACTTCTGGGCCAATTCAAATAGGCGCTTGACATTTTTTAACTCAAAAGTGGTATCTGAATGGGACGATAGGCAAACATATCCATACTATTCAATATATCAAGACAATCATGGTTAAGCAACTTTATAATGTGACTCGAGCTCAAGTAGTTCAAACTCTCAAGCTTGGTCATTCGACAAAGGAGGTGGTCAAAATGTTTGGCATTTGACACTTTACAGTAGTTCGTACCAAGTAAAAGTATGATAAATACCATACTTTTAATCACATCGGTAGAAATGGCAGACCGAAAGTTTCTTCTCCACAGGTTTTAAACATGATGAAAACAGGAAATTTAAAATAATCCTAGAAAATCCTAAAAAATCACTGAAAAACTTTAATTAGTTGTCTTACTTTCCAATAACCTCTTTGAATCCGCTGCATCAATGGGTTTGAATCAATTCATTTTCCAGCAAGAAAACGACACAAAGCACACATCAAAGCAGGCATCATAGTTTTTGAGAGAAAGAAATGTGGAATTATTGCCTTGGCCTGCTCAATCATCAAACATTAACCCAATTGAGAACTCATGGTGGATTATAAAGTCTAATATAGGCATATTAAAGCCTAAAAATATCAACGAACTTAAAGATGCAATTAAGACGCCTTGGGCAAAAATAACAACGGATATGACAATGAGAATGGCTGAAAATTTTCAAAAACGAGCTATTGCTCTTTATTAAGCCTTAGGTGAATCAACAAAATATTAAATGACTAGCAAGCGTTTTTTTAAAAAAAACGTTGAAAAATGATAAAATAGTCCAAATTAAACTTATTTAAAGAACAGAAATATTAAATAATTAAAAAAAATACAGCTATTTTATATATAGTATGGACTTGCTTTAATTTTTGTCATTTTAACCAAGAAAAGGTTGGTGCGTTTTTTTTAACAAACTGTATATATATATACATTTATATTTATATTTATATATTTTTATATATGCTATGATAGTAGTATTCATAACCCTCAGTAAGACTTAAATGAGAATTTGCTCCGGCTTAGGATGTTCAAGTTGATGTAAGGAATGCTAATTGAAGTTACCACACTGAAATTGTCTCAACTTGGATGACATAAGTTAGTATTCTCGGTCCAAGTATCTAATGGACTCTCAGCAAAGGTGCTTTTGATTCCGGTACGAGAGTTAAATTAGATTATAAAAGTGAGTCATTGACAAAATTTATTTGCTTGTGTTTTAGCTCAAACATGTACCGTGTACTGATAAGGTTTTTGGCGATTAGTAGTCGGTCTTTTTTTGAGGAATTGGAAAGTAGGCAAGTTTTCTTAACTTGGCCTGACTTGTCAGCAGTTCGGATGATGCAAGGCTTTTATAGCCCCATCAATGGTACTCAAACATGACAGGCATGAATCGAGAGCTTCATCCGTTAGCACTATATTACGCATCCAAAGCGCTGTCATGCAACAGAGCGGACAGTAAAGGCCCAACTATAATCGAATGTACATTGGGAATATATATATTGAAACTAGAGACATGGTTGTTTCCCATCTATGCAGATGTGGGACTGGTGAGATATGACCCACTCTTCGTTGTTGGGCTTACACAATCTCAGTCATTGAGTCTTGATGATAGCCTGTTTGTTAATTACTATGATTTTTGACCGGTATTGCGCAAAGACGTCAACACATGCACACACCTACAAACATACTCAAGTTATAAGGTAATCAACCGAACCATTATATGCCTATCTATGGTAAAATATTTTCGTTATGGGTATATATAGCATGTATGATAGAGCCGATTAGTCTTCTTGAATTGGTGTTAGCGTTAAACCTTTGCAAGAATTAGTTCTGGCTATGGAGTTGTCGACCCCATCATGGACGAAAATTAGCCAGTTTTCACTTGAAATTAGGGAGGATGACTTATGGACAGAGTCTACCTGAACAACTTATTAGAGCCAAACGGATACGACAAAAAGCGAATCACCCATCGCCTTATGATGAGATCGACCCATGAATCTCTTGATCATGCATTTTCATATGAAATGAAAGCTTCCACAGGGCTCAAATTGCACCCGAAAACCGGTAAAGTACACATTTATAGCAAATAAAGGGGAATCACTTCACCGCATACGTTCACTCAAAAATGAAAGTCTACTTGGCACAAAGATATGAATAAAGCCTAAGTTTCGAAGAATGCCTTAGTGATATATTGTGACATGACTTTCTATTTCGAAGGAAAAATTGATTGTAAGGAAATCGTGATGTAGTCGCATCAGAGACCGAAGAAGGATTACCGAGTAGGAAAGACTGTTGAATTGTGCGAAGTATTCTTCGACTCACCGTGCTGTGAAAGATATCATCAGAGCAGGTATCCATAGCTCACGAAATAGAGCAAAAATATACTAAGTTAAGAGGCGATCCTCCTTCGGTTTCCGGGGCAACAACATCACAAATTCCTATTATTGTAGTCACTAAGTCCAGTGGTCCTTCGAACCTCATGTCAAGTAACGCGCCATTCCAATAATTGAATGAAGAAAGCAAAATAGGACAGCAATTTTTTCGCTTTCTTTTCTGTGTACACCTAAAACATTAGAGTTACCATGTTACTATTTGGAAGCGTGTCAGCCATGCGATGATAGTGAAAAGCAGACCATGGCTGAGGCCAGTTTGCACTTGTTCGGCGAATTTTGCCACCGGGTGCATGTCTTGGCGCATGTTCACCTCGCCTCGTCGACTGTCTGTACCACAGAGTTGAAAGGATTCCCGATTAATCTGTAATGGTCGGGTTGCCCTTTTGTCGGTCAGGGAGTCTTGTCCTGTCTTTGTCGCAAATGGTGTCAGTTTGTGAAGAACTGGTGAAGAGAATTTGGTCCAGCCAGCCAGTGTATTTGGCGCTAGAGGTGTGAAGGGAAGGTGAAGATGAGCTGACCAAAATGGCCATTGAATGCAGTACTGAAATAGTTCGCCCATCCCACGTCGGATTCGCTTGCGCTGTTCCCGTGGCGTTGGCGCCTCCGAATCGTACTCTGACGCGTATTCCGTTGACAATGTTCCATAACTGGGATAGGAATAGGTATAATAGTCACCATTTCTCCCATTTCTAAAGACCGGTTGCTGATTATTATTGTTTGGAGGCTGAGCTGACGCCGGAGCGAAGTACTGTTGAAAGAATAGGGCAATCACGGGCAGCACGATGACTGTGCTTAGTCGGGACATTATGCCAGTTGACGTCAGTTTCGTCGACTTTGGCCGAAAGATGAAGATTTCCGATTACTGGATATTTCAATGCCTATATATATTTATATACATAAATATAAATATATAAAAATGTATGTGCATATATATATTTATACGTTTATTAACACGGAATAGTACGCCGGATGACATTTGTGCTGAATGAGCTTTCGATGGGCCATGGGCTTCTTACGGGACGCTCCATTCGATTGGCCGGAGTCAAGGTGGGGCTTGGATTCACCACACTTTGGCTACACCCCATGAATAGGTGTGACTTTGATAACTTCACAGTTTTGCATTGCCACATCCATTGCTAATAGGCTTTACAAACGTTTTTGTCATAAAAAAAGCAATTTACTGACATCTGAAATAAGGTGTGGCTAGTTAGGGGCTGAACTTTGTAAACTGAGAGTTGCAGCTACCTTCAAGATGACAAGGGATTGACTTGTAAATTGACGTCATGTGAGGTATATGTCTTTTTTAGGTCTGCGCAACACGGCCAACCGTAGTGGGAGTAGTAAACATTTGGAAGATGCTTTGCTTGTTGACTCTGCAAGAGCATCGGGCGTCTCCATTTTCAGGCTGTTGATTTTCAATCTGAATACCGAGCTGTAGACAAAGCCATTTTCGCAAGCAAAATGACTTCATCTCCAAAGCATGCGCCAACTAACTGTACATGTAATGATGCAAATTCGAAATGCGTAAAGTAAAGTGGAAACAGCGAATGAAGTAACGTTTCATTAATGCCTATATTCGCTTTATTTTTCACATTTAATTTGACTTTTATCTGCATGTACTATGGACCTCCATACTCTCATTTTGGCAGCCAAAAACTATCTGGCAGATCATCACAATCACAGGTGCTAGTAAATTTTGCCTCCTAGCTGCCAGGTACCAAGTTTATTTTTTATTTTTGGCAATGTATATAAGGAAAGACCTTAGTTCGCATTTAAATTCACTGTAAAACCTAGTTTATAGTTTCAATCTCCACCATCAGCAGTTTCAGCTCAATTCGAACAGTTGACGTGAAGATTAAACAACAATGATGCTACCACCAAAACCACACGGCCCAATCTCAGAATAATGCCCGGCAAGGATGATTTTGAAGATAGATTCGTCTTCACCTAAGTTATA